TGGATTAGACATAGGAACTGCAGGGTTAGGGGAATGGCTCTGGGTGGGATGTAGTGATTCTATGGTTCAAAAAGGGGCTGGGGAGTTACACATGGGAGATTCAGAATTGAATTACAGTGTTGCTGGCACAGGGTTCAGAGTTAGAAAGCCAGATATCTTAAACACTGTCCAGCGTCCTAGATAATATGCCCCCTCTCTGTTGTGATCATAGAACCCCTACAGTGTGGATAATTTGGTTCCACGCCAACCCCCCCAAAGAGCATCCCACACAGACTCACCCCCTACCCTAGTCCTGCATTTCCCACGGCTAATCCACCTAACCTACACATCCCTGGATACTATGGGCAATTTAGCATGGTCAGTCAATCTAACCTGCATGTCTTTGGAATGTGGGAGGAAACCGGAGCACCCGGAGGAAACCCACGCAGACACAGGGAGAATGTGCACATTCCACACAGACAGGTGCCCGAGGCTGGAATTGAATCCAGATCAATCTCACACAGCAGTGAAAGACTTCAATCATCCACTTCTGGGTTATTGGCCCAGCACACTCCCACTGCACCAATCAGAGGTGCTTTTTTATTGTCTAGACATCATGTAGCAAAGGTTCAGGGATGGGAGGGAATGCAGCTAGATGTTCACATGGGAAATGATGACGTAGGTGGAAGTAGGAGCCAGGACCTGATAAAAACTTTTAAAAAGCTAAACTCTCAAGGAACAGAACCTTCAGGGTTCCAGTAATCTGGAATCCAGCAATCTCTGGATTATTCCTCGTGGCGCAATTCAGACTGGACAGAGAGAGAAAGATCAGGATTGTCAACACTTGACTGAATGGATGATGTGGAAGGGGAAGATATTCAGATTCTTGGGCCCAAGTGAGGGGATTGCTGTTCAACGTCAGGCACATGTGGGCCTTCTGTTATTGGAGCCAAGCTCATGCAGGTAAGTGGTGAGAAAATGGACTCCCTCTGTGTTTCTGGTTTTCATGATTTTCTGTGAACCCTGCTCTTGCACCAGCAACAGTAACCAAACTTTCATGCTATTTGATATGTCAGTGTCACTTCAGAGCTCTCTTGATCAGCTGTCCTCCCTCTATTAACTTTAACTAATCCATAACACTGTCACTCTAATGCTGTCTTGCATCAAGCCCTTGTTCAACTGCATTGGCTTCTGATTTCCTGAAACTTCTGATTTAATGTTTCTTGTGCTTGAGCTAAACTTCCTCCATAAGCTCACCTGTCCCTGTTCCTGTCACCACTTGCAGACTTATAAACTGGAAACCCCCCGACCATTTGTCAATCCTTTGCCATTCATTGGTCTGGACCTTTATAGATGCTGCCATTGCACCAGTGGAGGAGGAAGTAAATGTTCAAGATGGACAGTTGATTTTGAGTTGGTTGCTACATCCTGAAAGGTCTTGAGCTTCTTCAGTGTTGTTGGAGCTGCACTCATTCAGATAAATGGAGAGTCTTCCATCATATTCCTAACTTTTACCTCATTGATTTGGGGAATCAAGGGATGAGTTACTCGCCTCAGATTTCCCAGACTCTGACCTACACTTGTAGTCACTGTATTTATATGGCTAGGCCTGGGACACTGCCCTGAGGAACGCCTGCAGAGATAATCTGTCTCCAACAATAACAACCATCTTCCTTTGTGTTGGATATGACTCCAACTAGTGGAGAGATTTCCTGATTGATTTCAGTTTTGTTAAAACTTCGTGATGCCACATTCGTTCAAAAGCTGCCTTGATATCAAAGATAATCCATTTTATCTTCAGTCCCGGAATCGAATTCTTAATTTTCCATGTTTGGACCAAGACAACAAGGATGACAGGAGCTGGATATTCCCACTGGGACCCCAACTGAGCGTTGGAAAGCAGGTTATTGCTGAATAACTGTTGGGCTGCAACGTTGTCAATGACACCTTCTATCACTTTGCTGAAGATAGGAATAATCTGCCAGTGTGGTCATTAACTGGATTGGATTTTTCTTGCTTTATTCATTCACAGTACTATTTTCCACACTTTCAGGCGTACGCCAGTAACATTGCTGTACGGAATGTCTTGACTAAGGATGCAGCTAGTTCTGGAGCACAAGTCTTTAGTATGACAGCTGTGGTGTTTCATGGCCCATAGCCTTTACCATGTCCAATGAATTTGTCTGCATCATGACATCACATGGAGTGAATTAAATTGGCTGAAAACTGACAATTGTGATGCTGGCAACCTCAGGACAGGAACAGGACGGATTATTTACTTGGCACTTCTGGCTGATTGTGATTGCAAATATTTTATCCTTGCTTTATCACTGATCCCCACCATTCCTGGAGACTACTGTACCAACTCCTTCCTCCCCAATGTCTTTGAACATGTTATCAACTATCAATTCCATCATCATCTTTCCCAAAGCTCCACGTTTGATTCCTTTCAAACCAGTTGCCACCTATTGTAGTTGTGAAAGAACTCACATAGACACAGTTGAATTCTATTTGACTGTGACAAAGATAAATCCTTATCCTTGTTGAGCTGTCTGCATGCAGCCTTTGATAGAGCTAACCACACCAACGTTCTTCAAAGTCCTTCTACTACTGACAGCACAGATCTCAAAGCCTTAACTAAGTTATAATTAACTATTTATAGCCAAAGAATCACTTGCAATGGCTTCTTTCCCTCCTCCCACGCAATTTTCTCTTTTTGTCTCTCTAGCCAGATCTCTCTTCCCCCCCCCCACCCTATTTCCCATCTACATGTTGCCCCTCAGCATCGTCATGTGAGATCCAAGTGTTAGTTTTCACCTGTATTCTGGCTACACCCAGTTCCACCTTATCTTTACCTCTCTTGAAATCTTCACTGTTGCAAAGTTATCAAATTGCTTATAAGCATCCAGTACTGGATGAACAGAAATTTCATCCAATTAATCAGGAAAACTGAAGCCATTGTTTTCAGTCTCTGGGCCAAATTCTGTTCCCCAGCTACCAACTCCATCCAACTCCCTGGCAACAGTCTGAGACTAAACAGTCTGCTTTTTTTTCAGTCTGCTTCTAACCTTGCTGTCACATTCGATATCATGATCAGTTTCCAACTTCATATTTCTGCCATTATAAAGACTGCCTAATTCCACCTCCATGACATTGTCCAACTTTGTCTCTGTCTCAGCTCTCTTCTGCCAAAACCCTCATCCATGCCTCTGTTCATTCTAGATTTGACTATTCTTATGCACCCCTGGCTGACCTTCTGCTCTGCCTTTCAAAACTCTGCCATATGTCCAGCCATATGTCCAGCAAGACCTATTCACCTATCACCCCTCTGCAAGTAGACTTATATTGGCTCCCATTTGAGCAATGACTAGATTTTTTTTATTCATTCACAGAATGAGGGTGTCGCTGGCCAGGCCAGTGTTTATTGGCCAGAGGGCAGTTAAGTCAAATGCATTGCTGTGGGTCTGGAGTCACATGTAGGCCAGACCAGGTAAGGATTGCAGTTTCCTTCCCTAAAGGACATTAGTGAACCAGATGGGTTTTTCCGACAATCAGCAATGGGTTCATGGTCATCATTAGACTCATCATTTAATTACAGATTTTTACTGAATTCAAATTCCACCACTGGGCCATCATCTCTCCATTATCAAAATACTCACCCTTGTTTACAAATCTCTGTATGACCTTGACCTTCCCTATGTCTTTAATCTCCACTAACCTTACAACTCTCCCGGATATCTGTGCTCCTCTGATTCGTGGAGCATCCCAGATGTTAAAGTTTGGTGCTGCTCCTTCAACTACCCAGGCCGCAGGTTCTCGAATTGCGTTCTGTACCACTCAGTCTCTCTCTCCCCTCGTTGAAGACCATGTTGACCAAGCTTTTGGTTATCTAGCCTAATAACTCCTGATGTTGGTTGTCCTGGGATGGATTGTCTAGGTGCGTGAGATGCAGCTGAGAGGGGGTCAGGTGAAGGCAGCTTCTCAAAGCCAAGACTAATTTAAGCTTATGATGTGCAACAAAGTTGTCAAAATTGCTCCAAAAAACCATTTTACAATGATTTTGTAAATTTTCACCATGTAGTTCAGTCCATTACAGTGAGAGCCCAAAAGGAAAATGTGAAATTCTTTGTATCTCAGCGATAACCCAGAGCTGTTCTACCACAAAAAGCAAGCATTTACTAGATCTGAGGAGAATAGAAATATCTTTTAGAAAAAGCTGTGGATATTTCCATAGTTCATTATTTCTATAACATAGAGACTGTGGGTGTACAAATCTTAATACAATCAGGCCAAGCAGCATCAGAGGAGCAGGAAAGCTGACGTTTTGGGTCTTGGCCCAGGCAGGGTCAACATGGTTTTGTGAAAGGGAAATCACATTTGACTAAATTTTTAGAGTAATTTAAGGATATAACAAGCAATGTAGGTAATTGGGAAGCCCAAAGGATGTGCTGTACTTAGCTTTCTAAAAAGCTTTTGATTAGATGCCTCAAAGGTTGCTATGCAAAATAAGAGCTGATGGTGTATGGGGTAACATTTTAGCATAGGTGCAGGATTGGTTAGCTAACAGGAAACAGAGAGTGTGCATAAGTTGATTAATTTTGAGCTAGCCTACTTCTCCTTGCATGTTTGTAACAGCTAAAAAGATAAGGTAATTTAGTTAATTGCTGTTTGCAAGACCTTAGTGTGCAATAAGTGGGTGCCATAGTTACTATATTACAACACTGACAAAACTTCTGAAGTTCTTAATTTGCTGTGCAAGGCTTTGGGATATCTTCAGGTATTATATGAATACATGTCATTCTTTCTCTCAGTTTTTATGTTCATGCTAATGGAAAGGGTCAATGAAGTGTGTAGTTCATTAACCTCTGGGTCAAAACTGGAACTTGAAGCTGTGTAGTTCCTTAATACTAACTCAGGGGTCCAGTGAATGGGCCTGGCAAAATCGTTGTTGCTAGTTTTACAGATTCCGTATAGCTCTGTCTTCAGATGGGATAAAAATAGGTATAGATTAGTTCACCTACCCAGATGGTCAAGGCTTCTGTGACACAGGCCCAGCTAATCCATTCTGGAGGACCAAGTCTGTTGACGGCATGAGGAAACTACATTGAATGTGCAGTAGAGTCATTGGGCATTAGTCAGTATTTGTGCTCCATCTAGTGGCACTGAATTGAATAGCAGGAATATCTGGAACTCAATCTTCCAAACAACTTTAAATAAAAACCGAAAGAACTGCGGATGCTTTAAATCAGGAAGAAAAACAAAGTTGCTGGAAAAGCACAGCAGGTCTAGCAGCGGTTGTTGACTTGTTCACCAAGCTGGCTTGTTTTTGTTCAGATGTTTCGTCACCATGCTAGGTGACATCATCAGTGAAGCCTCCAACGAAGCGATGTTATTCTACTCTGCTTGGAATTTATACTGTCTGGTCCGTTATGGTGAGTAGTGTCATTTCCGGTTTTGACCTGTATGGGTTTGTATATGGGGTCCAATTCTGTCTGTTTGTTGATTGAAGTATGGGTGGAGAACCATGCCTCTAGGAATTCCCGTGCGTGTCTATGTTTGGCTTGGGCTACTATGGTTACCTTGTCCCAGTTAAATTGCCTTCATTGTCTGAATGCACAGATATTAAGGAGAGTTCATCATGCCATTTTGCTACTAGTTGATGTTCATGTTTTTTGATGGCTAGCTTCCTTCCTGTCTGTCTGATGTAATGTTTGTGGCAGTCGTTGCATGGTATTTTATAAACCATGTTCATTCTGCATGTTGTGGGAATGTGGTCGTTAATCCTTGTAAGTGTTTGAAGTTCTGAGGAAGGGTCACCGGACCCGAAACATTAACTCTGATTTTGCTTCACAGATGCTGCCAGACTGAGCTTTTCCAGAAACTTTGTTTTTGTTCCAAACAGCACTGTAGGCCTAACTAGACCACATGGACTGCAGTGGTTCAAGTAGGCAGCTCATCACTACCTTCTCAAGGGCAATGAGGGATGGACATTAAAAGCTGGCCCAGCCTGAAAAGCCTATGAATGAATTAAAATAAAATACTCCAACCAAAATAAATACCAGAACAAAATACATTTTGGAATCGTTAATTTGGCAATTATTTCAACTGTGCAAAATTCTGTTACTTGAAAGACTACTGAAAGCATTCAATGGTACTGTATGACTTCTTCATCATGACCTGATACATTGAGTGTAATTCGCCAATTAGTCATTATCATTATTTATTTGTCAAGTTGAATTACAGAACACATGTTTTAAATTTCATCCTTAAGTCTGGATGCCTCATGTCACTTCCGTAAAATTGCAATGTTTTTTATATATGTCCTTACAAACACAAAATTACTTTTATTTATTCGTTCATAGGATGTAGACGTCACTGGCTGGACCAGCATTTATTACGCATCGCTAACTGTGTTGGAGAAGCTGGTGGTGAGCTATCTTCTGGAGCCATTGCAGTCCTTGAGGTATAGGACCACCCATAATGCTGTTAGGGTGGGAGTTCTGGGAGTTTCACCCCACTGACAGTGAAGGAACAGCAATATGGTTCCAAATAGCATAGTGTATGGCTTGTAGGGAAATAGAAGAAGGTGGTGCTCCTGTGCCCACATCCTTCCAGGTGCTAGAAGTTAGCGGAATTTGGAAGGTTCTGTTGCAGGGGACTTGGTGATTTAAAACAGTGCATCCTGTAAATGGTGCACACTGCTGTCACTGTGCATCGGTAGTGAAGGGAGTGAACGGTGGTGATGGTGGATGGGGTACCAATCAAGTGGGCTGCTTGGTCCTGGATGGTGTTAAATTTCTTAAGTGTTGCTATCCAGACAAGTGAGGAGTATTCTATCACAGTCCTGGCTTGTAGATGGTAGGCTTTGCAACAGGAAATGTGTAGTACATTTTGAGTAGTGTGAAACTGAGATATTTGGTCTCATGGGCATTGGTCACTGAACCCATCATGAAAGATAGGTAACAAAACAAGAAGTTGCTGGAAAAGCTCAGCAGGTCTGGCAGCTTCTGTGAAGAGAAATCAGAGTTAACATTTCAGGTCTGGTGACCCTTCCTCAGAACTGTTCTGAGGAAGGGTCACCCGGACCCAAAACATCAACTCTGATTTCTTCTCACAGATGCTACCAGACCTGCTGAGCTTTTCCAGCAATTTCTGTTTTTGTTTATGGCTTACAGTATCCACAGTTCTTTTGGCTTTTATAAAAGGTAGGTAAGACTGTTTTGTCTCAATTAACATGCCACCAAGGAAGACAATAAGAAGATATCTTAGCTACTGTTCCATTGCAAGTGGTTCAAGTATCTCATATGTGAGACTCACACTGGGGCGTTACCAAGAGAGGAATGCAGTGGACAGACACAACAGGTTTTGGACAAAGAGCAAGAGAAGCCCTTCTTTGCACAACATAATGCAAAATTTCCAGGGCTAATGATAGAATTTACTTCAATGTCAACATTTGTGACTACATTAGATGAGTAGTTGATAGACAGGGAATTTAAGGATACAAGAAGAGAATCTATTTAGGAATATAGGAAGTGGGTGTGCAGGACTCATTGGATGAACTGGTTTGTTTCTATGTCAGTATATAATTGTAATTTGAATGTAATTCTATGTGATATTGCTAGAGGGAATGAGTTGAAGTCATTTTCTTCTGTCTAGAGAATAGTTATGACAGGAGGGACTGAAACAGTGGCATTCAGTTCCAATCATCATTTTTTCTGTCTCCTTTCATTTTAAAGGCATGCCTTTAATTTAACCTGACCTTAGCAACATTGTACTTAAAAGAGCAGATCAGAGAAAGAGAACTTGGCATTGCCACTACTGAATAGTTTGAAGTTGGACCCTGAGTCATCTGTGCATTTACAGTGCCCCACAATACTAAAGCAGTGTCTCTGCCTTATTGGGAGTCTTCCCTGGACTGAAGGTTGGATAGAGTGTTAGTGAGCAATTCAGTGAATGTGTGCAAACGTACAATGTTGCCCACCCTGTCACGTGCTAACTGCCCATTGTCATAGTCGAAAGTGATGGGCTGTCAGTGTATTTGGGACCTTCAGGGGCACAGTAGCCAGGTCAACCCAGACCAGGGTTGGCACAGTCACTCTTGGAAATGCTGTGGTAAACAATCCCTACACTCCAGTCAGAATACACTTGTACCATTATCTCCCATCATGAAAATTCAACTAAGCCCAGTACTTTTTTTATGTGAGTAAATTGTTCTGGCAATGAATGGACATCATCAATGTTTTTGTTGAATGAAAACTTATTCCTGTCATCAGAAATCTCCAGTTTATGGTTGGCAGTCTCCACATTCAAGATAGAGTTTCTGACCTCTGTGTTTCAAGAAAAATGACCCTAGCCCTAAACTTAACTTAACCCTAACCCCAACCCCAACCCTAAATCTAGCCCTAACCCTAACCCTAACCCTGAACCTAACCCCAAACCTAACTCCAAACCTAACCCCAACCCTAAACCTAATGCCAACCCTAAACCTAAGGCCAACCCTAAACCTAACCCTGACTCTAAATCTAACCCTGACCCTGTCACAGTATTAGATCAATGGGAAAGCAGGAGATTCCATGCTTTCTATTCTAAGCCTGAAGGTAATTCCTGAAGGACACTCCAGAGGCTTGACATTGACACTCCTGTGTAACCTTGAGGGAATGCTGTCCTATTTCAGGTCAGATGTTAAGCTCAGATGCTCTGTGTACTCCCTGCAAATTTCACATATAACATCTGAGATTTCACTTCGAACTTACTTCTCTCATTGTAAAGTGCTTTGAAACATCCTGAAGTTGTAAAACCTGCTACATAAATGTGATTCTTTCTTTCTTTCTTTCTTTCTTTAACTGAACTGAACAGGTCAGAAACTGAGCCAAGGTTACTGCAGTGTAAGCTGTCTGCTGGTTGTATAAGTCGATGAAATCCACTCCAGTTTTCAGGGTAATAATGGCTTTTAGCCTACAGCACAAATTACTCCAAATTCAACACTGACAGAAACTGAATTAACAATCAAGAAAATTAAAGAAATGCATCTATGTAGCTCCTTTCATGACTACAGGATGTCCCAAAGTGCCCTACAATCAGTGCTCCAATTAAATACTTTGAGGTGAAGTCACTGTTGTAATGTAGTAAATACAGAGTCAGAGCCAATTTCCACACAGCAAACTCCCCAAAGCACCAATCTACTAATGATCAAGTAAACACTTTTTCATGATATTGATTTAAGATTGATTGGGTAGGCCATCTGGCATAACTCACCTGCTTTTTTCTAAAATAATATTGTGGTATCTGAAAGGATAGGCAGGGCCAAAGCTTTCATCTTAAAGGTGACACTACTGAGAGTGCTGCTGCTCTCACTGAACTGTTAGCTTGTTGATCGCTCTGCACAAGACTCTGGAGTGAGACTTGAGCGCACAACTGTCCGACTCAGAGTCTGCACACTGAGCCACAGTGAATAGTATGGCAAATGGTGAAATCTCACACTGAGACAGTAAGGAATGGGTGTTAATTAGGAGCACATTTTTGGGCTGAAAAAATTGTTTGAGTTGAATATAAGATGTCAGTCACAGTGCTTTCATCTTCAACTCAGAAGAACATTAATACCTCACTCCTAAGGCTTGAATACATCACCTATACTGGCACTTCTGTGCAGCTGTAAAACACTGTGGGGCACACAGATGTTGAGATATGCATTGTATTCGCCTTTCTACGAATAGGATGAATTCTGTTCTCAATGTAACCCAACAGATCTGACCAGAGTATGCTTAATGGAGACAGTGAAAGACCAAAATAAAAATTGTTCTTTTCTTCAGTATTAACATGAAATATCTTGATGAGCAAAAATAGAATGACCAGTCAGACTAGCTAAATTCAGAATTCTTGAAAAGGCCACAGGCTATATCATTTTTCTATCCACTCATACAGCAAATGAAATTGGATGCATTTCCAAATAAATGTACCAGTGTACAAGCTCATGCTTTCCTTGGTAAGTACTGTAGGCTGTTGATGCTACACTCTGAGATAGCACTATTAGAAACTGATTCCTTCAATGTTTCCACTAAACAGTTGATGCTGCATTAGGTAATAACAGCACTGAATTGCAGAAAGGATTAAGACCATTGAGG